GCGATCCTAACGACAAATACTATTACAAGCAGAAGGCTTATCTTGAGGCCATCTCTGTCCCGGAGGCTTGGGATATCGTGGACTCTGGTCCCAAGAGGACACCTGTGACCATCGCAGTTATTGACGACGGAATCGAGGCAACTCACCCTGACTTGAAGGATATCGTCATCAAGGGCTACAACGTCGTTGATAAGAATGATGATACCAGTCCGCGAGGACCGCACGGAACTATGATGACTGGCATCGTTGCTGCTATCAGGAATAACAAGATCGGTATGGCGGGTATCCTGGACGAGGTGCGTATACTTCCCATATTCGACGGCGAAGAAGTGACTTTCTCCGCAATGGCGGATGCTCTCACCTACCTGATCAATGAGAGGAGTGGTGATGTGAAAGTTATTCTCTTCACGGAAGGTTCCGATTCAAGGAGATCCCAAGCCGTTACCGACAAGATTCGGGAAGCAACTGAAGCTGGCATGCTCGTTGTTGTCACGGCAGGGGATGAGAACCGGGATCTGGACGTAACCCCATCCTTCCCTTGTTCCTTCGGCCGCTCTGCCACTGATGGAGTGTTATGTGTGGCTGCAACGTATGGTACCAAAATGCAGCTCACCGACGAAAGCAATTTTGGTTCAGCTGTTGACATCGCCGCTCCAGGTCACGACGTATTGGCAACTTTTCTTGTAGGGTACGGCACTTCTTCGGGCACTTCGCTTGCCGCCGCTATCGTAGCAGGTATGGCTGGGATGCTCTACAGCCTTGAGCCATCTGAGACCCCTGCTTACATCAAAAGTATCATCATGGACACGGCCACCCAAGGTGTCAAGGATAATAAAGGGAAAAAGACTCTCCCCTTCGGCCGCGTGAATGCTGCGGCGGCTGTTAAGAAGATACTTGGAAAAAAGAAGGTTTAATTTTTCCCCCTGGCTCCGTCTCATGATGATGGAGTCAATGACACCGAGTCATTGACAACTTGTTCAGTGAACTCTTGTCCACTCGATGGCCTCTCTCTTGCTGGTTAGATTATCATGTGATCCGATTCATTTATTGTGAATGTCAAGGTCTGATCATCAGACTTGATAATCGGTCATCGTATCGCTGGGGTTTTGATTTTTTATGACGATTTTTTATGCCCAACTGTTGAGTTGTGCCCAACTGTGAATTTTCGCCTGGGTTGGTCTTACTCGAGTAGGCAAGTATTGGCTCGGTGTTCCAATTATGAATCGTCCTGAGAGATGCTGGTCCATCATCATCGATCGCTGTCCCGATCTCCCGTACCACACAATGTGTTTCTCTCGAGTGAAGGAATCCCTTAGCTGAGCGTATGGTGAATATTTTTTTACATCGGATAAGCTCAATCAAGCCTCACAATTGCTTGCGGCAAAAATCTTGCCCTGACAGGGCTACAGGTTACTATAGGGCGACAGTAACAGGTTACTATAACCAGTGCGGTGTCATTTCAAATTGAAATTTTCAATCGACAAGCCGTTTACAATTCTCTCATTCAACAATTCCCTCATTCAATGATTCCATCAATCAACAATTCCCTCATTCCATCATCGTATTCTCGGATTGTATGAACAATCACTTACAACAGTATACAACATGAATAATGATGATTATATTTTGCATGTACAACATCCACCAATTAATTAACGAATGTTGAATGTCGCCCAATGGCCGACGCCCATAATATACGGCATTATATTTCCCATCCAGAGATGAAAGGGAATACTAGGCAAAATTGGCGCCATCGATCGTCTTCTCTCCGCTAACGGTGACCGGTTACCCGAGACATACTCTTCTAGACGCAGCAGCCATTGATGTTGATCGTTAGCCGCCACCGCGCCAGTAGCACCAGTACACAGCCATGCATCATTCACACGTTTTTCTGATCGCAACTCTCCGCCAACCAGCAAAGGACGGTCAAAATATTATGCCGCACAGCGAACGAGACATCTAGCTTGCTGATGTCTTGGTATAGTCTCGGGGAGCCCATCTTGGGGGACGGCCAGTGGTGGGAGACCTGCTCAAAGTGTTCCTACGACGTAATAACAACACTTCTCACATTCACATGACTCGTGGTCGTAGTGGACGCCTTGATTCATGAGAATCCTTCATACCGACTAATCCACACGTCGGAACTGCACTGATCGATATCATTACTTGGCTCACCGATGCCTACACGGGGAAACCATCGCGTCTATCTAATGTCGATTCACCTCACCACCTCGAGTGCTTGTTATTTCGCCACCACATAAAACTAACATACCGCTCGAATTGTCCGGAACAACAGCCATTTCTCCTCGGGGCCCGAAGTCTCTGTCTAGCGTTATCTGAAAGCCATCAATTCACACTATCCTGGAGCCTGTCGGGCCTACCTCTTTCCACAACACTCCGCCATTGTCTGACCTCCACACCAGAAGGGAACTACGTCATAGTAGTGCCACCAACTATGATCATCGACTGGCCGCCTACCGTGCCAAGCGTACTCTCACCAATACACATTCGAAGGGAACTCACCGTTGGTGGTGGTGAATCCCATGGCCCATCGGGGTTCCCATGGGGTGCACACAGACAGGCGTTGCCAATTTCCACCGGAGTCGTCAGAGTACCAAACGTCATTGAGGTGGACGTTGTAACAACATTATTGTTCATACCAA